GACTAAGACTGTGTAAAACGTATGCAGCTGTGTAAAAAATTCTCTTTTAGTATGAACTAGACAATTTGGTATACTTGTATACCACTATCCCCCTTGTCCAACTCTGACAATGGTGAAACTTTACAAAGAAAAATGTGGCCAGTGAGGGGTGGGGCTCAACAGTAGAAACTGTCTAGATTAAAACCTTAGATTTGGGGTCTTGTCTCTTACCTAAGTTAAGTATCCCTCAGTTTAAAGCACTCTTACCATTTATTTGCACATCAATAAATCCGGGACAGATGATCACATTATTGCAGTCAATCTGTACATCTGCTTTGACCTGCTCTTCCCAGAAAATTATTCGAGGATCAATAATCTTTCCATCTCGAACCCAGAGATCGTCTGTAATTATTTCACTGTCTCTCAAAAGTCGACAATTTCTAAACTGGTACAACTTCGGCTGCTTATCGTGTGTTCTTTTCATACCGTCTTGTATCAGCTGGTACAGCTAGCTGGTCGGACGCCGGCCTGATTTTCTTGAAAGATTGTTAACGTTTTGAGGACGAAATGAATTCTTAACAGTTAAATATCAAATATATTAGACCTAAATTGTTAAAACCTCTTCACCTAATTCTGTGTAACGCAATAATCCCGTGAGAAACCTCAAAAAATGTCGAAAACGACTCCATTCTCAGACAAGTTAATTGAAAAATGACAGGCGTTTACTTGACTGGGAGGGGACTGGTACGAAATGAGATCATCCGGCCCAGGGCCCTTATCCGGCCACCTCTCCGGAATCCGGCCTTAACTCCGGCCCCTCCAAATAGCTCGTGAGACTGTGGGGGCACTTCCTTATGTGGCCTCATAATAACTGGCTGTGCGCCGGCCCTTTCGCCGCTACCCTGTGAGCAGGGCTCCTTTTTCGTGGCATGAGCTGGCGTGCGAAAAGGAAAAGTAGCTTATACCGCGAAAATGCAGCCTCTGCTCGCAGAGTAATCTGGCCAATGGTATAGTCTTCAGGGCCTGTTTTCAGGATGAACGTCTTGCACTGCACTGGGTGTCTAAAAAAAGAGTGCAGGCCTGGCGATGGGCGGTCCATTTTTGTGCTACCAAAAATCTTTGTATTAAACAGGGTGTCAGGGCTTAAAGGCTTCGGCGGCACACCTCTTCCCAGACTTCCTTTGAGTGCCTCCTGGTTTTTTTTTCCAAAGCCATGGAATCAAAAAAGCGCCCTGGGGACGAGGTTGGGGTTTTTTCTATGGACAGCGTGCAGTAGAGAAAGCAAAATTTTGAATTTATTAAACAAAAAGTGATGAACAAGAAACGTCAACCTTCGTAACCCTTTCTTGTTATTTGGTTTGCCTCACTGCGAACAAAGGCTTGGATATTCCTTTCTCTTTTCGACTTCTGCCTTGACATCCCCTCAATGAGGCGATCCTTCCTCGGAATGACGACACTCAACAACGGTATCATCTCGAAGACCCGACTGACTACCCTTAATTCTCCGAGAATGCTACTATAAGGGTTGTCCAACGAATAAGCGCTCTCTTCCTTTGTCGAAGCAAAAAAAAGCGCCCCTCTTCCCGGGGGTTACTCTTCTTGACGTGGGTGTGCTACCCGGTTTCCCAAATCCTAAGACTATTTCAGACCAAACATGTCAATTTTTACACCTGTTTTCACCTTGCTTCTAAAATCTATACTCGCTTTCAGACTTGGCCTTTTACTTGATGCAGTGACAAGTGGGGCGGACAAACTCGCTTCCGTTGCAAAAACGTTTCATCGTCACGAATAATAGTCAAATTTTGGAGAAAAATTTATTCTTGTGATCAAATGAACGCTATCATTTAATAGTTTCGAGTGCAGCTTTAACTTGAAATGGTATACCGCATGGTAAAAGAAAATTATCCCAATTTTTACTAGAACGACTTAACAAGTACAAAACAGGCGCGACGTGCCAGAGGAATTAAAACGCGACGGTAATCTTTTTCTCTGTTCAATTAATCAAAGATAACTACGTTAGATGAAAGCTAGCCGCTTTTAACCCTCTTAACAGCTTTGAATTAAATTGAAATTGTGTGCTGCATTGATATTGAAACTTATTTCAGGGTCATCTCAAAACCTTTTCGAATTCAATCGCGAGCTTCGAGCCAAGAAAAATTTAATACTTGTGTAACATATCTTTCTATCTTCAGTCTAAGGATTCCTGCATAAAAAAAGGCCTTCCGCTTTTTATGAGACCTCCTTTAAACTGACGACAACTGTCGAGGCAAAAGAAATGAATACAACTTCATGCTAAACTCGACGTGTAGAATTTAACAAATGAAACTACGATTTGATAAGCTGTGGCGGATCTAGGAATATCTCCGACTGCACCCTTTACCCTTCCTCGTGCCGCGCGGTTTTTATCCTAGCAAAAAATAAATCTTGCACTCTGCTTTGCCAGAATCATGATGCACATTTCGCAGAATTTGAAACAAGCACCGGTGTCCTGGGTAGCTTTATTTTAATTTCTACTTAAAAACAAAGATGAGATTATTGTGTCTTCCGTTACGCTCCCCCTCCTTGTTAGCCTGTACACAGACGTTGTCTTGTTTTTCTTTTCGTTCTTTTCGAAAACATCGGCGAGCTCGCGAGCGAAGCGAGCGTGCGAGAACAAGCGAGGAGCGCGAGAAGGAAAAATAAAGAACGTCTATTTTCTTCTTCCCCCACCCCTACCCCCTTGCGCTGGCGGTCAATAAATCCCCTGCGGTTAGTATTTTACCACGCGCGCTTGACGGACTTTGAAGAGAAATTAGAGGGTCTGTGAACAGGCTACCTCCGTGTTAGTATATGGTCTTCATTGCATTGTCTTGCATTCGTTGTTTTTAGTTATAGACGTATTATATCATTTGCAATCCAGAACGTGTTATCAGAACCAGAATTTCCCTATAGGAATCTATTGTACCCCAAAGCTTATTACTGTATAAAACTCGATCATCAATGCATGCCAAACTAGCTAGTCGGAAGTGCAATACCTGTTTTCGCCCCACGGCCATCGGATTCGAGCGCCGTTTAGGGGCCTGACCATTTTTCAGTCTTTTTCTATTACTTTTCTTTGGAAGCAACAGCGCTAAGAATTTCCTTGGCTGTTCGATCGTCTGCGGTCAAAACAGGTTATTTTTATTGTATTTTACCCTGAGCTCTTAAATCAGAAATCTGACTTCTGTCTAAAAAAATGACCCTAACCGACTTAAATCAGCAATACGTAGATTTAGCCTTTTCAAAATACGCACTTCTGTTGACCTAAAAAAAGCACGTTATCAGGTTTGAACAGAAGGGTATTATATTGTAATACAGTGATAAGGTGTCACCTTAAACTCCGTGCTCATCGAATACTTCATCAGATAGTTGGAAACCTTTTCCTTGTTCACACAATCATGAGTTCAGCTAACGTATCATCTCGCCTGCTCGTTTGCTGTTGCTGTGTAACTTTTATCAGTGTGCTTTTCTTTTGTGTCGGTTTTGTGAGATTGGAACTGGAGTTAAGATCTCATACGGAGAGAATCGTTGCACTGGAGCAAGGGCAGAAAGTGAACGAGACAGTAAAGGATGCTCCACCCTCAAGCGAAGGTAAGCGCCTCGTTAATAACACTGCCCACTGTACGAGCCGCTAGTGACTAGTCACATAATTTGCCTTCTTTTCTTGCAGTTACCTCTCTAAGGGCTTGTCGAGAGTTTAATTACAAAGTTTTACAAAGGGATAAGTTATCGATCATGTGAGTTCACGTGAAGCTTTCAACAAATGAGCGACTTCCTCCCGCTTTTGCCATGTATTGGTTAGAGAAATGCACGCAAAATATTCCAGTATTCCATGATAACACATCTTTAAATTTTCGAAAAGTTCGGCACAACTCGGCCAGAATTTGGGGAAATAATCGCGGCCTTAAATCACGTTTGTTTTAAATACGAACACAGTTCTGAAAACTTTAAGTGTTATAATTAGTACAAAATATAATGAAGGAAAGTACACAGGCCGAAACAAGTGTACTCTGGAATTTTATCCCACATCCTAAAACATCATACGGCTGCATGAACTAGCTGAAGACCGCGCTTTCTTAGTCTGTAAAACACCATTATTTACTTGGAATTCATGCGCTCTAAGCAAATGAATAACCAGTGCTTTATGATTGGTAGTTGGCTTACATTTTTGAGATTGGATAAGCAGACGCTGAAGTGATATTTTAGCCTTACTTGTGAACGCGCTTCGGCTCCATGCAACTCTATGAGATTTTTTAAGTTTCAGAGAAGTAACTAAGTCTACAAGACTTTTTGGGTATCAAGTCGAATATTAAAATGAACCAAAACGATCGAGATCGGAATGATTAGAATTAATCAAAAGGTGTACTGCATAATCTATACTATGGTAGTTTCTTGGTTTTGAAGATGGGTGAAATCATCAATGAAGTAACACAAAAGATTAAAAAGACAGTGACAGATGGGCTCCTGAGAGTGAGCAATACCACACCACAGCACAAAAGAGAACCAACAAAAGTCTGAATCATTCCGCAACACCAGGAAACACCCGGGTATCAATGTTAAAACTCGGGAAGTTGCATTTGAAGTTATTGTGCTAAATATGGCTCAAATAACAACGGGGTTGTTGTTCTATGATGTTATTCTTAGTAGCTGATTTTTTTAACAGACATTCATGAGACACACTGAAGACACCGCCATGTTATAAATGTGCTGTACTCGCTCACGGCCCCCCAAACATTAACATGACTTCGGTTACCTATTTTTATTTTTAAGGAAATGCTCATTCCTTGAGTATGAACTCGAAGCAGTTATCAGCTCATTACAGTAGACGAATTGTTCGGGCGGTTACACCCACGAAAGAAGCAGAAAGTTCTTTAGCTCAAGAGATACAAAAACAGATCAACAAGGCTGTTCACACGAGCACAAGAAAACTCTGCACCAGCAAAGGATAGATTTGTGTTCAAGGTCCTCCCGGGAAAACAGGACCACAGGGACTTCAAGGGCCAATGGGACCCCCCGGTATGAAGGGCCAAAAAGGGGAACCTGGAGAACCGACATCAACATCTCTGCAGCTCTTCAGGGGGGAACCTGGAAGTATTATTTCAACCCCCGAGATTTTGGTCAAGCCCGCAGTAAAAACTGTAACATTGAATGAATCGGCTACGTTTCAGTGCTCACCGGAGAGAAAAGTTGACGCCAAAATATCATGGGCTAAAGAAGGTGGCTCTCTTCCCGCTGGACGACATTCCATTGTGAAGGGGACTCTACTTATCAAGAATGTGATCGTTGGAGACAACGGGATGTACGTATGTACGATCCGAACTGACCAGGGAACCGCGCAGGCCGCAGTAACACTCAACGTCAGAGGTATGAGCAGAAAAATTCAGTGTCATTTTTAGCATAACACATCCTCCATTAATAAAGGAAACTGACCCTCGGTTAACACAAAGGGGTAACTAACTCCTTAATGCCGTGAAGCTCCCCATTCCTAAATGGAGACCTGATCTACCAAAGAAATGACTAGTATAGTTAATTAATTGACGTAAGAGTAGCCTTGATTAAATTTAATACCTGTAATCCCGGGCTGCAATCATCCAAACTGCAATCTACGCCACGCTCTGATTTTTCTTATGCTACAAAGTAGCCAAAGTAATCAAGTTTTATCACGCTGTATCATAATGCTTTAATTAGTGATTACGCGACTAGTTTCTTTTTCATTCATCTGAAAATTCAGCCCTTTGCCGTTCAACGTTCATAAAGTAAACAAGATTAAAAATGTACGAGGCGGTTTGTAGTCAGAGTAAAAAGCGCGCGGCTGAAGACGTTGAAGTGACGGATGGGTAAAGGGTGTCAAATCAGTATCTTACGATTATGACAACTTGAAAATTTGCTTAAGTCAGTTCCCTACTGCTCATGTACGCTTTAAGTTACCTTCGAGAACTGTTAATTAAGCAACTCTGAAGAGGTTATAGTTTTTTTCTCATTTCAGCAGTTCGTTTACGTTTATACCTACAAACCAACGTTAAACATATCATCCTTAATTGAATTGAAAATGCCACAATGTTAGACTTTCTGGTCTTCTCGGATAAGGATGAGAAACCGTAGGTCGGCCGTCTCAAAGCACACACTGGTTCTTTTGGGACGTAACCGACACAACTGTTCGAAACAAGGAAGATTAGGGGACGTAGACCCTGGTGGTGTGGCCAACCTTTCCTGGGCTGGGTGGGTAATATCTGTAAGTGTTCTTAATATAGGGATAACCTCATGATCCTTCTTCAGGTGTCGTATGTAATGGCTACCTGTAAAAAGTGTATGTGTGTGTTTGTATGTAATGTGCCTTATAAAAAGAAGGCAATTTTACAAAAAAAAAACGCATGGAAACATTCAGAACGTACAGATAACTGGAATGTTTTGACCTCGCATTAGACAGGGTTTTTAATTTAAAGCAAGCAGACCCTGAAAGTGCACGTGCACATCAGTTGTTCTAACTGTTTTGTTTTTTCTTGTTGTAGCTCGTCCAGACGTTTCTCTTATCACTGGCCCAATATACGCTGAGAGCGGGAAAAATGTCAAATTGCCCAAATGCCAGATCATTGGATATCCACCTCCAGTAATATCCTGGACAAAACTTTTTGACCAAATTCCCACTGAAAGAGCAGTTGTCGAAGGTCAAACATTGACCATAGTAAAAGCTAAGAAGAAGGATGCAGGAACGTATATTTGCTCTGCTACAAATATTATGGGCACTTCGCACGCCATGACAACCTTAATCATCAATATAGTGCCACAATTTACTGTCAGGCCACCCAAGATGATAGAGCGTTATCTTGGACAGTCAGTTACATTGAACTGCTCTGCAGATGGACACCCAGTACCGAGTATCACGTGGTCACGTTGTAAAGGACACATTCCAGAAGGGCGCGCACAAGTGGAGAGTGGACAACTAAAGATAAACAGTTTGACAGCTGAAGACAGTGACACCTACACCTGTAGANTAAAGGACACATTCCAGAAGGGCGCGCACAAGTGGAGAGTGGACAACTAAAGATAAACAGTTTGACAGCTGAAGACAGTGACACCTACACCTGTAGAGCTCAGAGCGAGTTAGTTCACGTGGAGACTGAAGTAAAAGTTGTAGTCAAAACTGGTAAGAAATAATAATTTATAAGAGGTTCTTATAAACGTGTGTTCTATTTTATCGCGATAATGTCATAAAAGGACGCCACCTCATGAATATCATCATTGGTGTTGTAGACGATCGTTGTGTCTATGATTCAATTCTCAAAAGCTCTTTGGAAAGTGTACCTGTTCTGTTTACTACAATATCGATACTGTACTAGTAAAATCTCGAGTTTTTTCTTAAGATAGAATATAGCCTCAAATCTAAATGGTAAGACCACATTCTGAGGACTTAACACCCCTTTTTTCTGGGTTTATATATAAGAACTGACATCCTGTTTCAATCATGCCGCTGTGAGGGTTTGAATACCAAAGTAATGACCAGGTTTTAACGCACGGGTTTTAATTAAGTGTTTCTTCCTCCTTTATAATTCGTTTTGCATCGTTTTGGGTTGGGTGTGATGCGGAAAGCAGACAAATCCGTTTTTAAAAAAGAATAAGTCATTTTAAAAGCTATTTCCTTCCTTGCTTTATTCCCTCTGAATGAATGTCTCTTTTACAGCACGGGACTGTGCCGAGCTGTTTTCAGCCGGCTTCAAAGAAAGCGGCGTGTACACAGTAAACCCAACCAACAGATCCAGTTTTGACGTGTACTGTGACATGAAGACTGATGGCGGTGGATGGACAGTCTTTCACAAACGTTTTAATGGGTTTGTCGGATTCTACAGGGGGTGGGAGGAGTACAAAAATGGCTTTGGTGACCTCAGAGGAGAGTTTTGGCTTGGAAACGAAAAGATTCATCAACTGACGGAAATTCCTAGCCAGTTGCGTGTAGAGATCAACACCACGTCCAGCGGGTATAGATACGCCAAGTATAGCAATTTCACGGTCACTAATGAAGCATCTAACTACACACTGTTCATTGGGTTTTATTCTGGTACAGCAACTGACAAGCTGACTTATCATAATGAAATGGCTTTTACTACTAAGGACCGTGATAATGACAAACAGAAAAGTTACAATTGTGCTGTAAATTTCAGAGGAGCCTGGTGGTTCAAAAGTTGTCAGGCCTCAAACCTGAACGCCAACTATGGTGACAGCTCTTATTATCATTGGAACTGGTATCTCCTCGGAAGTGAGATGAAACTGAAGGCGAAGCTAAAGGCTAAGTGACAGCTAGGGATTACTTGACAAGGGCCTACTGAGGCAATTTGTTTAAGACAATTGGTTTCCCTGAAAATCTGAAAGTTATTATGCAACTAACTAGTTCACAAGTTGTCTTTTACATATTTCTGTTAAATTGGGAATTTGTTGGCGGTTAATCAAAAATTAGAATCATCCTATAAAGATCTCGAATTAAAATAATGTAAGCGTCTTAGGCAGGAAATAATTCGTTTCAACACCCAACTATAAAAAGACTGAAAATTTGTTGTATAGGTTGTCAATATGGACGTGATAGCCTTCTGTACGTTTCTACTTAAGCCTTATACTAACAAGAAAAAAATGCTCTTTAGAGACACCATTTTCACGTCTCCTACTGGACACGGGACCGCCATTTTACGTGGTCATCCAAGCCACGCAAAGGTCTAGCCATTTGCAGGGCAAAGGAAGTACCTTCGTTCCTCAGTCACTTTAAAGACCTTGAGTTTTGGTCCGGTCCCGGGAATCGAACCTGCGACCTCCCGCTTTGCAGTCAAGCGCTGTACGGACTGTGCTATAATCCTGCCGCGGTATAATGGCTCGAGAGAGTTCAGTAAGATCTGTGGGGGGTGGGGGTGGGGGGCTAAACGGATACGTGTAACTGAACAGGGTTTTGTTTTCAGGGTATTGGGTCTTAGACAGGGTGTACAACAGGGTGATTTTCGTACCGCGGCCCTTAAGAGAGTGTAAAGTTTAGCATTGATTGGTCTACATTTGTAGTACTAACAATTTTTTTCCTCCCAAAAAACTAATACTATGATGTTAGTTGTAATATAATACTTAATTATGTATGCGAAAAGAAATAAATCAGGGTCATAAAATAAAGTCTCTTGTCTTAAACGGGGTGGCAAACTGAACAATTTTTGCAAAAACTTTTCATCGCAAGCCCATTACCTGAATCAAGATAGTCATTCGTCCACATCTCTTCGAATTGCAATTGAGAGATGCAGACGTTACGTTTTGAACGCTTGCAAAAGTAAACATTCTCGATGAATGTGGATATCTGCAATACGCCGATATAGAATAAGAGGTAAAAGGAGTATCGGTAATCCTTTCCTTGAATAGAATCAGCTGCTAAAAGGGGACTTGGGCGCGCAGGCCATTGGTCCAGTTAGCGCTACTGCCACATTAAAAACATCATTTTTATTTATTTAAAAAGATACTAAATAGAATGAACGCCACTTTCATTCTGGTATCTTTTGTAAAGTTCAATCAACTCCCGGGAAGTTCTAGGTTTCACTGCGATAAAAGCTGAATTGAAGTGTCGAATGTGTACTTCACACGATTCAATGTCTTCTTGTAGCGCTCCCAACGCTGCTTCGCGACACAAAGCAGAAATTTCAGCGCCTGAAAACAATTCTGTCCTTTCCGCCAGATCTTGTAACACCACATCGTTTCCGAGGGGAGTTTTAGTAAGATGAATTTTAAAAATTTCTTTCCTAGCTTCTGTATCCGGGAGTGGAACATAAATGATTCTGTCTATTCTTCCAGGGCGGAGTAACGCTTTGTCAATCATATCAGGACGATTCGTTGCCGCCACCATTATGACATCTTTAAGCGTTTCAACACCATCTAATTCTGTTAGCAACTGCGTTAGAACGCGATCTGACACGCTGGAGACGCCACTGTCTCCACCGCTGCCACGGGGAGCTGCGAGGGCGTCTATTTCATCGAAGAAGACGATGGAGGGCGCTGCAGCGCGGGCTTTTTGAAAAACCTGGCAAGAAAATGACCAAAAATGTGGTTAGCTTACAATTTCTCAAACGAACCATAAGGAAACGACACAATCTTTATCAAATGAGTTGACAAAGAAAGGTAACCACCACACTGAAAAAAAGGAGAAAAAAAAGGAGGAAAAAACATGAAAAAAGTCCACGTTTCGGTTTCTAGCTTGTGTATGAGCGAGCCCAGAAATTGAAATTTCTGTCTTAAGAAGGAGCAACGATGTTTGGTGAGTGCACAATTTTTTGGTTTGGATGATAAACTAAGGCCCGTTCAAACGTCGAACTATGAAAAGATCGATGTTTGAATCAGTTCAGTCCGACATGTCTAATTTGGGTCTACCATGAATTGAGTTCAAGTGACCCACAAAGGAATTTCGACTTTGGACCGACTTCGTTTCAAAGACCCAGGGGTTTCTTTAAAATTTTGAACAGGGGGGCAACTGAGTTTGACACCCGGGCAAAGAATTGGCAAGGCCCTTCGGGCAGGGGGATCTGGGGGCACGCTTTCCCGCAGAGATGTGTTTTCCTGAATTCTGAAGCTGCAGACAATGTATTTCATCTACCAAAAAAGGATAACTTTTCTAGACAATTTAATCAGTGCACAGAGCACAGTTCTTTTCGTAATGCATTATGGACGATTCTTATTTTTCAACACTCAACAAACAAGGGGATTTCATGCCGCCTGTGATAAAGTGGAAATTTGACGGTAAAGTATGTTTTATGTTTGAGAAAACTCAGACGATGAAGGGCACGATTGTAACTTAAAACTGTTTTTGATCATTCCTTGTATTAAAAAAAGTTCTTTGAGATGTTAAGCAGCAGGGCAAAGTTGCATTCACAGGCGGCCAGTTTGCGCGGTGCCCGGCCCTTAATGAGACCCCTGAAGAACTTCAAACGTCGAACTTTTCATTTGCCGAATCTAATGCATCAATTAACTATAATTCATCTTGACTGGTAAGCAGTGTCAATCATTGTACTATTTGTACATCGTGAAAATGAATTGACTCCGACTATTAAGTTTCGACGTTTGAATTAACCGTCCAACTTGTATCATTTGGGTCGAGCCAAACAGGTATTTTAAAGTACATGAACATGGTACAAGAAATGGTACATGAAAGGTTCCACGTTTGAACTGGGCCTAACTAACCTGTCTTACAGCTTTCTCTGACTCACCAACCCATTTACTAAAAAGCTCAGGACCCTTCACCGCTAAGAAATTGAGTCCACTCTCTGTAGCCAATGCTCGTGCTACAAGGGTCTTGCTGCATCCTGGAGGTCCGTACATCAGGATTCCCCTTGGAGGGCTGATACCAAGCCGCTTAAATGCCTGCAAAAAAACAAAATCAAATCAAAAACATGCAATTTGATCTTCACCGAAGTGGATTTTGAGGTCACAAGCTAGCATACCGACAGGGCAAGTACTTTAACGATCTATGTTTTGTAACTGGCTGAACGGTAAGATTCACATAAGTTGGCACTGCCTTCCTTACACATTTTGCAACACAGAAGCAGAAAATATGATCTTACCCACACCTCACTTGTCCCCAGCGGCCTCTTATCATTTGTAGGCGGTCAAGGAAAGGCCACGGGAGGCTACTACAAGGCGCAGCGGAGGCTCTCCCACGGGCACCTTCCACGCGGGAAGAAAGATAACTAGGGACGGGTCAGTCCCCACACCACTGTTTGAAAAGTGAATAAGGGGAAGTACACAGTGCTGTGTTTGGCGTTTTTGTTATTCCCTTCGTTCATGAGGTGAAAGTGTTAAAGGAAGGGGTGGGTAGGTTGTCATCCTCACCTCTGGGTGTTTCAGGGGCCATTCAACTGCTTGCATTAGCTTTTGTTTGATAACAGTGTTTCCTCCAATGTCATCCCAACGAACCTAAAACATGGTTAACAACAAAATAAAACATGTTGATTACCAATGTAGTGGAACTTAAAAATCAAGACTGTAAAAAATTATATTACGATCGTTAGGAATAATGCCGCTGTGTGATACATCCAAGACAAAGAAAATTAAAGGCAGGACTGACGAGGTGAGTGTAAAGTGAGGGAAATTTAACACTCCCCTTGTTTTTCTGTGCCAATTCAAGGCCTATCACGTGGCTGGCTAGTATCGCACTTCTCTCAACTCTCTTATTGCAAGTTTGTGACTAAAGGAACAGCCATTAAAAAACCACATAGGAAAAAAAGTCTTGGTCAGAACAAATTAGGAAACAGTGGAACGTGCGTGTTTCTTATCAAGGAGAAGATCTACGCTACTCTCACCCGGCAAGGTTCAATCACACTCTAGGGTACCCACCTTAGGAACATCGATGGCAACTTCTCGCATAGCACTTGGTCCAACCTGCGCAAACGCGGCGATGACGTCATCTCTTGTAACCAGAAGCTTATCCTTGAGGGTCTCTTCGCTGACAGTACTATTAAGAGATGACGTCATCTCTTGTTTTGCTAAACAGCGTTTGAATGCCTTTAACCCCGCCTCTTTACACACGGCAGCAAGATCCGCTCCTACGTAACCATGCGCCATTTCTGCAAACCTGTCAAAGAAAACAGACAAGCTTTAGAGTATGATAGACGTTTTAGGTGTCCTCATGTCCGGGTGCTGAGAGGACATAAGTTATTGAGTAATTTAGCTGAAGGATATGGTCTCGAGCAAGGTACCAACCACCCACAATCGACCCCTATCGAACCCAGAAGTACTTAATCTCTTAAAGGATATACAAGACTATTTTAAGTTATACTATATAATTGTAAAAGGGGCCTGGGTTAGGTTTGTTAATTTTTGAGTTTAAACTTAGATCTAACTATTATTGACAGCCCTGACACGTGCAATGTGAAAAGCACAGATAAATTCGTCATGGACAAAGCTTGTTTGGTGAAGATGGCTGGATACTGGCAAAAGTTTTTTTTGTTCGCGTTTTTACCTCAGAAAACTTAATTGTACTTTTTTCTCCAGAAAAGTTAGCACAGTTATTTTTATCGAAGCAGGTTAAACCCTTTCCCGAGCGCAGAATTATAAAACGTGCAACATTTGATAACCTGCTTCCGCCACGTTTATCACGTTTTCCCGCCAAAATGATGCTGGTTCACGCGCGCGCTCTACTTAGTATTAATAAAATCCCGTAATCGTAGTCGTCCTCGTCTTAGAATCTAAAGCTCTTTAATATGCAAAAAAAAAGGAAAGAAAAGAACGAGGACACATAAAGTTATCTTGAGCAAATAAGCTTACTCATTAAAGGATTTACTATATGGGCAAAACAAAATCTGTTTTGCGAGAAACGGGCATGATGAACCCTTCTTGTCCGCTCAAGCGGCCAATCAGAACATAGTATTATCTTCATCTTGCCCGCTCCGCGTGAAACCAGCCATAAAATCGCCATATAATACATCTAATTCTTGCCCACCATCCCTTATTTATTACCTGGCAAATTCCTCCTCCGTGAGGCTATGTGTCACAGTCCCCAAAAGCGTTCTCAGAATATCCTCACGATCAACAGCATTAGGGATGCCGATCTCAATCTCTCGGTCCAGTCTCCCTGGTCTGCGAAGGGCTGGGTCCAAGGCATCTGGCCGGTTGGTGGCCGCCAATACAAGCACGTGACCAGTTGAGAAATTCTAGGAGAAAAAAACGAGAAAAAGCGATGTTTCATGTGAAGGTTAGCCTCAGAAAACAACCGACATTTCGCGATGCCACCACTGGTGCCCTCGCGAAAATTATGACGACTGAGAAACGAGCGCAGAGATTCAACATTGATGGAGCGTTACTACCCAGAACTGGGTAGAGCTTTTGATGGGTTGAAGCAAAAATTGTTGGGATTAACTTGCTGACCTAAGGTTTTAAAACGTTATTCAACTTACAACTGAAGTAGCTCCGTCCATAAGGGTAAGCAAGGTGGCCACGACTCTCTTCTCAAACTCATTCTGTACTTTGTCCCTCTTGGGACATAAAGCATCAAGCTCATCTATGAATACAATACTAGGAGCCTTCTCCTGGGCCTCACGGAATATGTCCCTCAGACGAGCCTCTGTCTCACCGTAATACCTGTCAGGAAAAAAATGAAAGAATTGCTTTGAATGCGATACATAAATTTGATTTCAAGTTTATACAGTGGACATCAACCTCACGACCACTCTACTGACATGTCACCTGCGAGAGCATCCGGTTAGCGACGACGTCTGCGGTTCGCAGGCTAATTGACATGACCACCTTGGAATTATGACCATAAATCTTGTGGACCTGACGGATCAATTTTAAGTTTCTGGGAAACTGCCCACCTACCCCTCCCCTAAGCTAACATTAACACTTACTTCTCACTTAGGGCAAAATGATGACTTAGGGGAGGGGTAGGTGGGCAGTTTCCCAGAAACCTAAATTGCTCCGACCTAACTTCACGAAATCAAGTCAGCGTTACCGACAGAAACCTTGATAATTTGACCAGGTTTTCCATGGCCTTTTGGCGGTCACAATAACAAGGTTTCACTGTAAAAATAACACTTTTTAAGATGCAAGAGCAGAAAAGCTAACAATCACATGTCTTGATATAATGAATACATGTACTACAGGCACTGTTATTGGACGTCATCAGCTATGATCAATTTACGTACAGACACGCGGATGAAGTTAGGAGAAAATTATTTTCTTTGTTTTGTCCAGCACGCCATTCATTTGTGTTGTAAAAACATTAGTGGCACACTCGCTTGCGGTTCGTGTGCCACTTTTTGGTTCTTACCACATTATGGTGCCACCTGTGATCTATAACTGAACAGATGCATGACAACATGGAACCTTCTTGTTAAATAGATTAAAATGATATTACGGACCTACTTAGAATATCAGGGCCATTGATAGAAATAAAGTGAGCACCAGACTCCCCAGCCACAGCTTTTGCAATAAGGGTTTTCCCTGTACCTGAAGGACCATGCAGCAGAATTCCACGTGGAGGTGGGATGCCTGAAATAAATAACACATGTAATAATGACAAAAGTCACAC